AGCGTGAGCAAGAGCGAGACCCTGTCTCTACTAAAAATAGAAAGAAATTATCTGGACAACTAAAAATATATAGAAAAAATTAGCCGGGCATGGTGGCGCTTGCCTGTAGTCCCAGCTACTCTGGAGGCTGAGGCAAGAGGATCACTTGAGCCCAGGAGTTTGAGGTTGCTGTGAGCTAGGGCGATGCCACGGCACTTTAGCCCAGGCAACAGAGCAAGACTCTGTCTCAAAAATAAAAATAAAGCACATAAGGAGATTATTGCTTCAAGTTACTTCTAGAGTACTTAGCTACTTTCCTGATTTATATTACTGATATTGTTATACTGGTTAGATGTAATGGTCATCTATATAATCATTGTGTCATTGATCATGCATAATTTCTAGGATACCAGATAAGACACTGAAGTGGACATTTAGTGGTTAAGTCTTTCAAAGGATGAGGTTGAGCCAAAAGCTAAATAGTAGATTTCAGCTGAAAAGTGAGACCGATTTTGGTACATTACATCTAACTGTTCATTCTTAACTTGCTAAGTATAAAAAAGATCTTTACAATTGTTTTTATTTGAATTCTTTGCTTACATACTTCTTGTCCAACTCAAGTATCCATCTAATTATTTTTTTAAAAACTTTATACTACAGAAAATTGTAAACATATGCAAAATTAGATTGAGTGGTATAATGAATCTCCATGTAACATCATCTAGGATCAATAATGATTAACTTTTGGCCATTGTTCCTCTATACTCTCATCTGCAAACCTCCCTCTGTGCCAGATTGTTTTGAAGCAAATCTAAGACATCATAATATTTTACCCATAAATATTTCAGCATGTATCTCTATATATTAGCACTTTTAAAAAAGCCCTACATTTACCATGTCTAAAAATGATAATTTCTTAATAATTTAACATATGCAGTTAGTGTTAAATTTCCCCGATTGTCTCAAAAATTTTTTCTTAAAGTTTATTCAAATAAGCATCTAGGTATTATCCATATATTACAATTGATTTTTATTTTTTTATTTATCCTATTGTATTTTGTAATTTATTTTTGGAGGAAATTGCATGGTTTGTTCTTTATATGATAGTTTCTTACAGTCGAAATTATGCTGATTGCGTCTGGGTGGTGTCATTTAACATGTTTTTCTGTTTCTTATATCTAGTAAATTGGTAGTTTATCTAGAGACTTGATCAGATTCAGGTTCAATTTATTTTGCCAAGAACACTTATTGATGGAATTTTTGTGCTCCAGTCTTTTTCTATGACAAATAGTGCCACAGTGAATAGCTTGGTGCATATATCTTTTTATACTTTTGCCAATGTAGTTTTTAAGTGGATTTCTATATTTGAGATTGGTAGGTCACAGGATAAAGCCATGTGAAATCTTGTGATACATCTCCAAATTCCCTTCCATGGGGGTGTGTGGGTATCATTTTGTATCCCACTAGCAATGTAAGACAGAATATAGACTCACAGAGTTTTTTGTTAAACATTTGAGTTTTTGTCAATGTGATAGATGAGAAATTGCATCTTAGGGTAGTTGTTTTTTTCTTTTCATTTATACTAAAAGTTCTTTATTGAGGTATAACTCATATAATAAAATGCATAAATTTTATGTGTATGTTCCAGTGAATTTTTACAAATGAATACACACGTGTAAACACTGCTTAAATTGTCCACTAGTTATTGATGCCTGTATTTAAAGATGGATCCTCTGGCCCAAAGGGCTTTTGTAGTATTTCAAAGTATCTATTTAGGATTTCATTATCTTGGACTGTCACGATAAACCACACACAGGAAACCTCTGGTTTCTGATTCTTTCATGAATTCATTATTTTTGTCATTTTTCCAAAGGATTTTTAAATCATCAGCATTCTGCATAAATCATCATCTACCTTAAATATTGATTTTATATGGCTTATTGCCCAGTAAAATGAATTTGAATCACCTAGAAATCTATTGATAAAGATACAACTTTAAATTTTTTTGTTCTTTTTAACACTTTATTTTTCTTCATTTTTGGCCTGAGGATAGAAGTAGAATCAATGAGTGAATTTATAGAAAATCATTATGTTCTTCAAAATATTGGAAGTGTCTAGTGAAAAAAGAGTAGCTTTATTTTGTCTTTTATAGTTTACTTAATTGGCCTTTCCCTAGGCCCAAAGGCAACAGCATTGATTTTTTTTTTCAAGCTATAAAAATGTGTCCCCATCTTCTACCAATGTATTTTAATTTTTTTGTGCAATGTGGACCAAATATCTCAAAGAAATCTGATTTTAAAAGTTGTATATGTTGCAACAAACTTTAGAGACTATAAATGGTAAACAATTGAAATGAGTTTTAGTCATTCTTAAAGAAAACACTAGAGTGTTATAGTATAGAAATACTACCTACTTTTGTTTTTTCGGTAAGTAAAATAGAGGCTGTTGAATGTTTTCGTGCAGTGTCTTATACTTTTGAAAATGTACTTTCCTCCTCAATGTCATAATTGTAGCAGTCTTAAGACCTCCTGGGGGGGGAAACCTCCTGAGGAACTTCCTGAGGAAAAAATTTGACTTTGTATTTTTTTAAAGTAATCTTTGGGTTAATTTGTTTTCTTGCACCTCTAATTTTGAATCAGTAACCAGAACAGCAGAAAGATAAACTCAAGGTTAAAGTAATCAGTGAATGACAGCTAGAAATAGCACAAATTATAAAGGTTCCATTTTAGAACTTGTCTTCTGAAGTTTTTACGTCTTCAGTATTGATCTTTTAAGCTTTCAGGATACTAAACACTGATAGCAGAGACATGATGAAATGTATGTATTTTATCAAGTTTCTGATATATACTTTTTTTTTTTTTTTTTTTTTGAGACAGAGTCTCGCTCT